TAAACAAGAAAGAGACTCAGCAAGAATGGCTCTGATCTTTACACATGAAAATGGCAGCCAGTAGATGTGGAATGCTGGGTAGGCATCTTAGAGAACAGACAGAAGAAGAGAAGGAAGAGTTTCTGACAACTCTACTGATGGACAAAAAGCCAATGGAATCTGCAACATGATGAGAATTGTATAAACAATTACCATGCAATAGCTCAAGGAAGAGATGGGCATGTTCAACAGAGACTTTCCCAGGAAAGTGCCAAGCCACCAGCCGAACGTCTTTCCATACGGGCTGACTCTACACTCTCAGTTACAGCTCCAGAAGAGCTCTCAGCTGGGCTGCCTTTCTTTACACAAAGAGGCAAAGTACAGGACACAGCAGCAGTCAAGGTCCTCTTTGCCAGGACCCAACCCACTCTCCTATTCTTACCCTCACATTGCAGCCACTCACCCATCCATTGGAATACTTTCCTGGCTAATCACTGACTAAGCTATTATCTCTGTGATCTTTCTTTACTACCATCCCCAAACTTTCCCCAAGGCCCCTGGGCAGCCCACAGCTCCCAGAACAATAAACTGCCCCCAAGGGCATCTCAGATATCTCCATGTGAGTCTCTTGAACTGCTGTAAGGCTAAATTCCCTGGAATAGCATACTATCTTACTGCAGCACAGCCTCCTCTCGACTTGCATGTATGTCTCTCTGTTCTCATCCTCTGCCCAGTAAGTCCAAAAGCAAGGTCCATGAGACAGAGGAGAGGCTGTCGTCTTTTAAATGTGACAGAGACTAACAATTAAAATCTCATGACTAGGATCACAAGGATTCTTTTTTTTTTAGAGATTTTATTTATTTATTATTTATACAACATTCTGCTTCCATGTATATCTGCACACTAGAAGAGGGCACCAGATCTCATAACGGATGGCTGTGAGCCACCCATGTGTTTGCTGGTAATTGAACTGAGGACCTCTGGAAGAACAGCCAATGCTCTTAAACTCCGGGCCATCTCTCCAGCCCCAACAAGGATTCTTTTAAAGCAGCAAATGTGTTATATTCTCAGTATGGCTGATGAGAACGACAGTCCTGTCTCCTGTATCTTTGTTTTCTCCTAAATGAGCATCCTGCCTAAAGGTTGTTATGTGAAAGAGGCCAAATCTGAGAGGAGGCACCTGTATGCCTGGCCTGACCGAGACCACCTCCTCCTCATACCTCACCCAGCCTAACTTCTTCAGCAATGCCATGAAAGGACCCCAGACTAGCAGCTTGACATAGACTATACCCCTGGCCCCTCCTAGCTATACAGGGGTGCTTCTCTCTCAAGACTTCTCAATCTTCTTCGTACAAGCATCTATAGTGTCTCTAAAAATTCATCCTACTGCTGTCAATCATTTTTTTTTTTTTTTTAATTCTCAATGACCCAAAAGCTACTTATTTTGAGTAACTGACTTTCTCGGACCAAGAAAATCTCCATCATTCTCAGAAACACCCTAACATAACCAATATATAATAATGGAGAATTTCTGAAACTCTGAGAGCAAGTGACCTGCTACAAAGGGGAAGTGAATACTGTTGTTTGCTGGGAAGCACTTATCAATTGAACAAAAACCTTAGGAGCAAGTCTCTAAAATAAGAGAAAATTCTGCACAGTAAAATACATGAAGCAGTACCTTAAAGTGCACAAAAAGTTTTCATTTTCTATGGAAAGAATATTTTCTAAAAGTATCTAATAAAAGGGCTGTATAGTGCTCAAGAGAGAGGCATAAAACCAAGGGGCTAAAGATACATGAACTTGCAGGAAAGTATTGACTTAGCTTTAAAAGTTCCTATTGCAATACTCCTGAATTATGAGGGCTTTGATTTATGTGAGCTTGTTAAAATATATCACTCATATAAATGGAACCTCCTCATGAGAAGAAAGAAAAAAATGGAACTGGAAATAACAGTAGTAAATAAATTGCACTCCCTGGAGTCCTTCCCACGTGCTTGAGATGGGTAACAGTTTAGGGCCTAAGCTTCCAGCAGTAAACACAAAGAGGAAAACTCAATTACATACATGATTCGCTAGTACCCAAGTCTAAAATGACAAATCATTACAGGAAAGCACAACATCTCCTCAAATAAAGACCAAAAAGAAATCACTTTTCTGAGTCTTACAGGCAAGATATGACATGTTTAACAGCAGCCAAACACTGAATTAACAATGAAGTTGATTTCATGTTATTTCTGGAAACTTTCTTAAATTTAAAATGATTATCGTAATAATTATAATGTAAAAACTGACTTATAGTACAAAGAAAAAAACAGCAATAATAATTTTAATAATTGTTAAAAAATTTATTGAAGATTATTATGGAAAAAAATCAAAGCATTGTAAAGACATTTTCCTTCACTTGTATAACAGAGATAATTACTCACTTAATATAGGGATTACTTTAGAATGGACTTGTAAATAGGAGTGTATTATATAAAAATATGAACTGGATGTGGAGATACCCAGTTGTTCATATTTAAGTGTAAAATGTCTCTCAAATACTATGTAATACTACCTTAAGGTGAGTTAATTTAGGCTCAAAAATAGGAATCTTAAAAAAGCTGTCATCATTTCAAGTATTCAGAAGCTTTTAAAACAAATGTGAAGTTTTAGGCTGTTTTTCCTTCAAATGATACTCGCACTGACAAAGTGTATTAGTTCATCAAACTTGAGAGTGTAAGTATATGGATTTGTTTTTAATAAATCATCATTTTTTCATATATCAGTCAAAGCAAAATGCCTAAATACTTACAAACAAAATGCATTATTAATTTAATTGTCAGAGCTTATTTAGCTAATTTCTATTATATTTTTCTATAATATGCAATGCATTAGAGAGTAAAATCAAATTCCAAACATAAAATATAAACTGATTATACTGTTCCAGAAAAATCAAAATATGGCAAGCTTGCAAAAATGTTTTCAATGGGTGAGCTTAATTGACAAGCATTACTCCCAAACTGAAGGTACAGCAAGCTCACTGTTTCTGTAACGCTTGAAACCATACACACAAAAAGGAGGAACCTAGATTACATTTGTAAACCATGATCTACTCCAATCACAGATGCACATTGAAAAATAATATTTATAGCTAACATCGGGAATTCTGATACATCCTTTAAAACAATAATGCCAGAAAAAAAAAAAATAAAAGGCAACATCACAAACATACCTGAATCAAATAATATTTAACAAGAAGAAAAATTCAAAGATATCTAATTTAGATGAATATTGGCCTTGAAGAACTTAAAAGTTCTTCCAGATAATCTAACAGCATTGCCACACTGCTTGACAAGGCTAATATAACGGCTGCAAAAGAAGAGCAGTATCTCACAGGAGAGGAAGCCATGCGATCTTTCTGTCACTGGATGAATCTGCATGAACTGGGAAGAGAGCCTGCTGGTGAAACCTCACAGTGACACACCTTCTCCACCAAGATCACACCAATTAATTGTTCCCAAACAGTTCAACCAACAGGGAACCAAGTATTCAAATATCTGAGCCTATGGAGGCCATTCTCATTCAAACCACCACATCCCTCTAGCTTAATTCACACTACAGAGTTAAAGGCACAGAAAATACTTATAAAACACAGGAAAGCTAAATAGAAAAATCAAACAGCAAATTCATGACTTTCAAACTTTGTATAGATAGTATACTATACAAGAGGTATCTTCTCATTGAAGGTGTTTGCATGATAAATAATGTGTATATAAAGATTAATTGAACATACATGATTTTGATTTGAGTGAGAAAAAAGTAAGAACACATAAATTCTTTTCTAATTTTCTGATTCCTATTCCTTATAGCTGTCCAATTAGAACCATAATGTACTACTTAAGAATGATTGGGATAACTCATGTGAAAGAAATAGGAACATAGTAATAAAAATGAGGGTTTTTTTTTTTTTCATTTTCTAAACTAAGTATGATATGTACCTTTAGCACATCCAAATTATTCTCTGAAAGTACATACTTTTCTACATTTCAAGCATAATCTGCCTATGACACACTTGTTACTTGGGTATATTTTAGCCAAAATTCATTCAGTATTACAATGAAATGTATGAGATACGAAGCTTAGGAGCAACAGAGGCAGATGCAACATCCAGTATCTGAGCATCCATCCTCTTTGACCGCACTCTAATGCTAAGGACTCTGACGGCATTTAATTTTTCAAAGGGCCATTGGACATTTTAGATATTGCTAAGAAGAATATGTTCTTAGCATTATTGGATGGATGCATTCAGAGCTGTCAGCATGTAATGACGGACAGTTGGGTGAACGTAGAATCTCAAGTATTTTCTTGGGGGTTTAGAAGGAAGCTGGATGTAGCCTACAGTTCAGGAAGCTGAGAGTGTACTGAGTAAGTATATTTCCCAAGCTTGAAAGTTATCAGAAGTAGCCAGGCTCACCTGGTAGCTGACACTGCTAGGTATCAGTTCAGCTAAAATAATTAAGCCTACATGATAAAGCTAATTATGATATACCACCAAGGAAAAATAAACCTGGCAGTTGATGGCACAATAATTGTAGTGTTATTTTTCATGACAAGGCAACTGTAGTATTACTTGGAGGATGGCACAAGATATTTCATTTTTAATATCAGCAGTGTGTTTGAGTCTACAGTAAGAAGTCCAATGTTATTTTAAAACCCCAAGTAAAAGTAAAGTAAAGACAACATTTAGTTGCCTCCACCCACAGTGTTTAGTTCACACATTTGCTTTAGCATATACAAAAGTGCTTACCAGGGTCAATTCCCTCCAATTCTAGTTTCGTTTACATCAATGTACCATTCATTTCTAGACATCATTGCATTTTTTCTGAAAAGTTGACATAATAAATGGCATTCAAGAAGGAAGCTGCAAATTCAGGATAAACCATTGACACAAATTTGAGAAGCTATTTCATTAAACAAAACTAAAAGTAGACAAAGTAACTGTACGTATTAAACATGAAATATGAAGGAATGAAAGTTACCTTTCCTTTGGGGTGCCAACTCCATGCTTGCCTAGTAGGTGAGTATTTAAGTGCTTCTTCATTACAAAAGCAACCCTAAAAACAAATGAAAATTAATTATTAGAGAATTACATCTTGACAACTGGCTGGAGACTTGTAGATAGCATTTAAGAATGGCTCTGGTACAGAAACACACCAGCACAACATGGACACACTCATTAGAATAGCTCTTCCTTAAAGTCTCCCCCTACTTGGAAGCAAAAGAAACACCTGCATCTAACTTGATGAGCTCCTTTTCTGGTTTAGGAATGCTAGCAGTACCCAAAAGATCAATGTAATGACTGTGGTTCTTTAGTCACCGTCTCCACTGTCAGTGACCATGGTAAAATATACACCGCCCTAACCAAATCCACACTTCAAACATAATGTGGGCCTGAATATGTATCATTTTACTAAATATTTAAGGGATTATTAATTGAATATGTCATATGAAACTTTTTAAAAACATGGTTGTAATTGGAAGAGAGGTTTTTAAGATGGCATAAATGTTTCCTGTACCTACAGCATGGACAAACACATACACAAATGTGCTTTTGTGACAAGAAAATCTCAATAAAAGTGGAACAACCAAGAGTATCTCCTGACTCACTATCTTAATTTACAAACATATGAGCTTATAAGTATATGAATGGATGGACAGAACATGAATCCAGTGCACAGGACACTGTCCTTCCACACAGCACAACACTGATTATATGACTCTCTACAGCACTGGACTTCATGCTGAAGCATCAGACAAAAATGGCTAATTTGAAAATGGGGGTGGGGGAGGTTTGCTGTTGTAACTTTGAGTGTAAAGGGCTTGCAAACATTTTTGTTAATTATGTATTACAGCTGTCCTTCATAAAGTTAATTACTAATAGCTAAAAGGCAACTGAATCTATTTGCATATGTACATGAAAGGCATGACACATGCAAAAATATGATTTTAATTAGCATTCTATGATATGAAAGGCTACAAATCAAATTGGCATGTTATAAGACTCTTAACATTAAACACTGGATTCATCTGGACATGTTTGCACAGACGGGCAATGTGAAGAATGTGGAGTACTGCAGCCTCTCAGAAGAGATTTGCAACAAATACCAAAAGCAAAATATCTCCAGAATCACAAAACCTTGTTTTTGAAAATATCATATATTTGTTTATTTTCATACAATATTAGGCAAGTGTATATTTGCATTATTAAATGATTTTTGCTTCATTATTCAAATAAACTTGCATACACTGGAAACACCATTCCTTCTGTTTTATATAGTATGTAATAACAACTACGACGATGGATGTTTGCAACCATGAAGAGCTGGTCATATCATCAATCATCATAATGGAAAGATAATAATCACATTTAAAGAATCAAACTGTGATAATATTAAGTGGTGAGCCAAAAAACAACAGCATAAGATGCTCTATATTTGTTTCTGCTTGATTTGGAAAGAATAAATAACATTTTTCATTTCCTGAAAAAAAGAATACAGTAATAACAACCGTCCATTTAAGTCATAACTTTCCTAGTGTCCTCCATTTTCCAATAATTAAAAAAACATAAAGCTAATAGCAAAGAGCAAAGGTTAAAAACCCAAAGTTGCAAAGCACAGCTTATTTACATGACCAAGTACAATTTAAGAGATCTGAACTCAGAAACCACAGTGCAGTTTTTTAAATAGAGAACCATTTATTAATTAGGATGCTAAGATCTAAAAAAAAAAGAATCAAGCAAAAATGTTCCACTGCACAGGAGAACAACTTAATAGGAAGGAAAGTCTTACCTAAGTCTGCAAAGTAAAGTCTCAGGAGGAGATCTGTCACTATTAGGGAAAATGGAAAATGTGTGCAGACTGGAACATGAACTTATGTTCAATTGCAAAATATTTGCTCAACCAGTTTAACTTACATGACAATTCTTTATGTTTGCCTATTTAAAATGTGAGCAGTGTAATAGTTTGACTATAACCATGGAGTTAACAAAATATGTATGGAAAGCATACCTGGCTGACCAAAGAGAAGCCAACTGACAGAGATGTGTGAATGTCTATACTATCATCATCCACAGGATAAACAGACTAATGACTTTGTACTTTATCATAATTTACAGATACAACCGGGAACAAAAATATCCCTCCAAAAAAGCTCCAGCTGAAATGCCTTGCTGAGAAACATCTATGTTCTGGGCCCTAAAGCTCTACCTCAGCATGTTAACTGTCACTTGCTATGTGCCAGGTATTGGGTGAGTTCTACACCAAAACAGAAAACCTAGGTAGTATCAGGCCTTCATGGAAGTTTCGTATAATACCCACAACAGAAGAATAGGGAAAGTAGCACAAAGCCTGACATTCTTCATTCATTGATGGTGCTAGTCATGCATGTATCCTTTTCATTCACACATTCATTATGGAACCATTATTGAGCACAGAAAAGAATAGATGTAGGCAACTCTGTTGGATATGTGAACAAATTAAATCATTCCTCTTGGGAAATGTAAGTTCTAGTAAGGAAGGCAGGCAACAAGGGAAAACAGAAGGCACTTTATGTCATGGTCAGTGAGAAAAGAAAAATAAAAGGAGGAAATTGAGAGAGGATGAAGAACCCTACCATTAAATGAGCAGCAACTGATGGTTCCAGTAAGAGGCAAGGCACCACAGACATATGATGGGCTGGGACTTGCTTAACAATACTGAGGAGGAAGTACAGTGGCATAAAGTGGCATGGAGGCCAGGTTGCGGAGAATGGGACAGAGCCGACCAGGAAGGCCAGAGTCACAGTGGTGCAGAACATAAAGGCCTTGGCTTTTATTCTGTAGGAAAAGCCACTGGGTATTGAAACAGAGGTGAGTTATCTGGCTTCCATCTTAACAGGAGTGTGCTCAGTTTCTATGTCTCTGTATTTCTCTGTCTCTCTATCTCCCCCATACCCATAAACACACACACACACACACACACACACACACACACACACACAAACACTGGGAGTGAGGCCTGACATGTAACTCTCTTTTGAAGTGATACAGGCAATGATAGGTATGAAGAGGCTAACTGGTTACAAATAGGAGCTTCCCCTATATATAGTGCTAACCACAGCCTGATGGCATTGGATGTGCATTCTCATAGAGAGGTCACAAAAGAAAGCTAAATGCTGGTATAGAAGAAAACGAGTGAAGCTGGTTTAAAGAGAGAGATCAATGTGAGCCCTGTGCATTAAGGCAGCCCATAAGACCTGGAGAGGCATGTCAGGCAGAGAGCTCCCGCCACTGCTCATGAACACCCTAATGGTAGAGAGGTCCTTGTCTAGGCTGTCCATCTGATAAGACCCTGACCACCTGAGAAAGGTAATTTTGTTTTTGTTTTTTTTTTAATTTTGGGATAGGGAGCTGGCAAGATGGCTCAAGGAATAGTGAGGGTTGTTGCGAAGCTTGATAACCTATGTTCAGTCCCCAGAACCCATGTGGCAGAAAAGAGAATGAGTTCTCATGAACTGTGCTCTGACCTTCATAAGCAAGCTGTGACACACACACACACACACACACACACACACACACACACACACGTGAGCGCAAAAAAAATTACTGTAAAAATATGATTAGCTAACTTATTTGCAAGTGATGAGCCAGTCTACTTCATCTTAGAATAAAGGCAAACCAGGCTCATTCCTCTTGTTTCTCACAGATCGAGCTATGCTCCACCTGTATCTTAACTGCAAATGGCTGGGACTGCCTGTTCCAAGACAGGACAACCATGTCTTTGTTTTAAAAAGTTGTTGTGAGTACCTTATTATGACTGCCTGTCATGTGACTACAAGCACCTTGCAATCATGTCTTTGTTTCAGGAGGTCCTTATGGCTAACTTACTATGCTGTGTTCTGCTCCCGAAATCCCACCCATTTTGTCTGACAAAGCCCCTATCTGAAAAACCCACTACATACCCTTGAGTTAGAAAAACCTGTCTTCCTCACATCCAATGCTGATCTCCTGAACCCTGCCTTAAGGGATGTAATTCGTGAACAAGAATAAAAAGGCTTGCTTTAATTGATTGCTTGTTTTTAATTAATTTGGCCATAGTGATTTGGGTTACTGGTCTTTCTCCTCACATCTTTGGGATTAACCCAAGTCACTGTGAACGCATGAAATCATATCGATAAAACTGGGTTTGGGTATCAAGAGGACAGTAGTATGCTAACATTTATACTCCAGTTTTCAAAAAATAAATCTTCTCTGAACCTTCCCTTCAAGATAGTTTTCCTACACTGTAGATCAATAAAACATCTCTTCCATCAGTCCTTTAGGTTTTATCTGTATAACACTGTCTCAATTTCACTGTCATGGATAGCTATCTGCTTTATGAAAGTAAATACAGCATCATAAGCACAGAAGCAAGTTCGAATGAGAGCTAGACCTTCCAAAGGATATGGACATTTCTGGGAGAGAAGTACTGCAAGCCACACTATCTGACACATACTAAAAGCAGCACCCTGGCACTCACACAGCCCTACCTGCTGATGTCCAGTGAGACATCAGCACCCATCAATCCAGGTATCCGAGCAGCTCCCAAACAGCTGGGCAGAGAACAAGTCTCACTCAGTAAAATGCTATGTGATCCAACAATCAAATTATTGACTTTTAAAATCACTACTAAATAAGAAGGTCACAGCAAACAGGCTGGAAGACTAGCTGGCAAAGGCTAATGAATGAATGCAAAAAAGTGTTCACAACTATAAAAACTTCTGAACCTACTTCTGGTTATTATGAACGCCTTCTATTACAATAACCAGAGTAATGTTGGCCCTTTAAGTAAAAACTACAAGTCTAAGGGCAGCATGGCAGCTTGGGGAAGGCGAGGACAAAGACAGAAGGCCAACCCTGTCATTTAGTATAGGGTAAAGTTGAGGATGCTATGTGCATTCTCCAATACCTAATGACCTTAAGCAAAGAAAGGAATTTATAGGAGACCTGTTATAAAGGAAAAAATCCTGTAAGTACTGGCATCATAAAAGGCAGAGTAGAAGTGTAATTTATAGGAAAAAATCCTGTAAGTACTGGCAT